CAAATAGATGCATTGGGGGAGTGGTGTTGTTAAATTTCTTTCAGCAAGGGCTCAAGGTCCTGCCCACCTCAAACTCCCTGCTACAACTTTAAAACAGTAGATGCACGGTGTAGAGGTTCAATAAACGACAGCTATTATTGCTGTTGCCTGCTTATCCCCTATTAGTCCATCTTTCTCCCCAAACCAGTTACCCTCCAAGCTTTTCCTACCCATTCAGGACCACATCCGTAATCTTAGCTCTCATTTTTTCACATCCAGATGACTCCCAACATCTAACTACCCATCTGTCTTCCTCCAGCATCTTTCTCTCTCCAGTCCATGTAGTTGCATGATTCCCTTGCACAGGAAACAGTGGTTCCCTACTTGTAGTCATCCACACTCCCCTCCCTAGCCTTCAAACCACGAACCCGTATTAACTCAATCTTAGCATTTGCTGTTGTTGTGTGCCATTGAATCAGTTTCAGCTCACAGTGACCCTATGTGACAGAGGAGAACTGCCTCAGTGTTCTTAATTGCAGATCACCAAGTCTTTTCTTCCAGAGTCACTGGTGGGTTGGAAATGCCCATATTCCAGTTTGCAGCCAAACACTTAACCAGTATCCTCCCATGGCTCATTTACTACACCCCCAAATTAATTCAAACATATATAGAATATCTTCAACATGCCACATACTGTTTTAAGCACTGGAGATATGAAGATGAGCAAGACATCATCATTACTCTCAATGAGTTCATAGTGTATATATAGAGAAGCAAATGAGCAATACGATCATTCCAAACTATGTGACAATGTATAGGAGGTTACAACCCAGAGGCAACCATTGGGTTAACTAAGGGTGAAGAAAGGGTATCCTAGGCAGAAGAAACTGCTTATGCAAAAGCATAGGGCTTGAAAAAGTAGGGCACATCTAGGCACATCATGCACCATGACAGAGCAAAGAAGTGTAGTGGAGTCATAGGGTGGAGGGATGAATTTCAGAATGGATAGGTAAACAGAAGTAAGCTGTTGAAAGGCCTAATGAATAAAAACTTAGGTTCTAGCCTAAAGGCAAAGAACAATGTCTGAGGGATTTTCAATAGAGAGAATAACTCTTTGTTTTAATTTTAACTTTGAGGTTTGGAATTGCTTTGATTCATGGTGGTGGTGTGTGCCGTGGAGTCGGTTCCGACTCATAGCGACCCTGTACAGGGTTTCCGAGGCTGTATCATCTTTAAGGGAGCAGAAAGACTCATCTTTCTCCCACGGAACAGCTGGTAGTTTCAAACTGCTAACCTTGCGGTTCACAGTCCGATTCGTAACCACTATGGATAAATTCAAATTAAGGGACGCATCTATAATGTGTGTAAAATCCTGCAGCACAAAAGAATCATGTGTTTGTGAAGATGGCAGAAAACTACAAGAATATAATTTTTATTACAAGGTAATAGAATCGATAGATAGATATTCTATTTACCAAGGTTCTAGCCTACATAAAAGTGTTCATCAGGAAATGCAAAACTAAAGTCATTAGTTGTTTAATCTCCCTTCATTTTATGTGATAGTATGAATCTGCAAGGGAACAAGCCTAAGTGATTCATTGTAATGATTAGATATGCTTGAAGAAGCAAGATAGCATCCAGCCAATACAGGACAATTCAAGGAAATGCTGCCTTTTCTCATAAAGTAGATAATATTAAGAATACATGCAATGAAAACTTTAAAAAATAGATTAATAAATTAACAAACTACAAAGCTCCAACTGTATGTACCAGTATGTAATGAAAAGTAAGCTTCTTCCCTTCCTATTTATGGGTACTTCTCACTCCCCTCCCAAATTGTCTCTCTCCAGAGGCAACTACTGTTTAGGTCTCTTATGAAACCTTCTGGCGATGTTTTATGATAAACCAATGGTAACATTTTATTCATACTCTTTTACACAGTGATGCACAGAGATACATAGTCCAAGGCACATTACTCTTTTTAATGACAACACAGAACTTCACTGTATGACAGCACTTCTTTGTATGCTATAAATTTAGGTCATGTCATATGCTCATAAATATGTCAGTTTTGCTTACGTGTGAATACAACTGTACAATAAACTTATGGATATGGAATTTCTGGCTCTAAGTGTAGAGATTTTATTTTAAAACTGCTGTTGCTACGTGCCATCGAGTTGGTTCCAACTCATAGCAACCTAATGCACAACACTGCCTGGTCCTGCGCTGTTCTCACAATCATTGTTACTCTGAGCCCATTGCTGCTGCCACCGTGCCACTCCATCTTGCTGGGGTCTTCTGTCTTTTCGTTGACCCTCCACTTTACCAAGCATGATGTTCTTTAATGACTGGTCCCTCTTGTTAATATGTCCAAAATATAAGAGACAAAGTCTCATCATCCTGGCTTCTAAGGAACATTTTGACTGTACTTCTTCCAACACAGTTCTGTTTGTTCTTCTAGCAGTCCATGGTATTTTTAATACTCTTCTCCAACACCATCATTCAAATGTATAAATTCTTCTACGATCCTCCTTATTCACTGTCCAACTTTCACATGCATATGAAGAAATTGAAAATACCATGGGTTGGGTCAAATTGATATCTTTTGCTCCTGAACACTTCAAATCATTCTTGTGCAGCAGATTTGCCTAGTGCAATACATCATTTGATTTCTTGACTGTTGCTTCCATGAATGTTGATAGTGGATCCAAGAAAAATGAAGTCTTGGACAACTTCAGTCCTTTCCCCATTTACCATGATGTTATTTATTGGTCCATTTGTGAGGATTTTTGTTTTCTTTACATTGAGGTGCAATTCATACTGAGGGCTGTGGTCTTTGATCTTCTTTATTAAGTATTTTAAGTCTTTGTTTTCAACAAACAGGGTTGCATATCACAGATTCTTAATGAGTCTTCCTCCAATCCTGATGCCAAATTCTTCATACAACCCAGATTCTGGGTTTATTTGCTCAGTGTACAGATTGAATAAGTATGGTGAAATACTACAATCCTAGCACATACCTTTCCTAACTGTAAACCATTCAGTGTTCCGTTGTTCTGTTCAAATGACTACCTCTTTGTCTATGTACAAGTATAAAACTAATTTATAGGAAAATGAAATAGTCATGAAGAATTAAGTTCCCTTTACATTTCAGACATCCAGCCCCATTCTCCAATGTTAATAGATCCCTCCAGAAAATTTCCATTGCATAAGCAAGTGGAAGAGTGTGACAATGTATAGGATGTATGTTTTATTGATATATTTATATTAAAAAGCTCTGGTAGTGTAGTAGTTATAAGTCAGGCTGAGAACCTCATGGTCAGCAGTTCAAAACTACCAGCTGTTCCATGGGATAAAGATGAGGCTTTCTGCTCCCATAAAGATTTACAGCCTCGGAAACCCTATGCACTCTATGAGTCGGAACTGATTCCACAGCACACCACCACCAACAACAACAGAGGTTTTAATTCTCATCTGCCAAAGTGCCAATCTGCTTGCCAGTGCATGGACATCTGGTGCTCACCAGCACACAGCCATGGCAACACTTGGTTATCTCTGTGCACAGAGCCACCTTCTTCCACTTGCTACCTGATAGCAGGCTTGAAGAGGCAAGCTCACACTTTATTTTGCTGTCAGATATATATATA